CATTATGCGCTAAGAACAACTGCACTGCCAAAGCCTGATTCGCTTACAGTTTATTCTGGCACAGCATTAAGTTGACTGACTATGTAGCTGAATACGCCGTAAGAACTTGTCCCATATCGCTCGTTTGACAAAGAAGTTGACCCAATCTTCTTTTCATTGGCAAGTTATCGTGTATCAATGATAGAATTCTACGTAAGTTGATTGCCAAACGTGAAACCACTCTTTCTAGCGCTTCTCTTCTACATCATTATTATGCAGTGAGCTCTGTAATCACGGAAATCTCTGATCACATAAACAAATTGCGAATCAGAGCTGGATATGTGATGACACAAGTTTTTTTATGAATCTCGAATTTCTTTGCTTTCATGTCGTTCGCACAACGCATAGCAAAGATGGCTTTATTTTTACTACATCGCAATTTCTCGGTGCGGAGATATTGGTAATCGGACTGCTTAGTGCGGACGAGTTCCCTATTTTCAAGTATTCCTCAAAAACAAAGTGAAAACAAGCCTTGCATTTAGGTCCGCAGAGGGCCGTCTCGAAGAAAATGGCCAAGAATTGGAGATCAAACGTGAACTCTTGCTAGGAAAATTTGCGGCGCAAATAGCGCGGGGAACGATCATGCAAAGCTAAAAATAGGCTAAACAAAATAGAACTGCACATCGAAAAGGTTCAACATAATCATGTCGTTTTGTTCCAATTTATTACAGTTCAAAAACTGGGATGTAAATTGAAATTTTCCATGTTTTTGGCCAAAAAGAAAAAACTCAAAGGCAGGTCTCAGCAAAATTTCGCTCTCCGGTTTCTCAGTTCTCGAAACCTTCTCGCTATGCTGAACACATACATATCTCGGCTTTACAGCGCTTGAAAATGGCAGGAATGAACTTTTTGCAAAGCTCTCCATGTCCGCATTCTCTGCAAAATACATGTAAGTGGGCGGAGTCTAGAACGCTGGGGAGGGAGGGAGACGGGGGAACCGGAATCCGGGGGATTTTAGGCTTTCCGGACGCGCTTTTCCCTACAGACTTCACCGATAGATTAGTTGGAATGTCTGCCACTGCAATGCTGTAAAATCTAGGTAGCTTTCAATTTGCCGAGACACTCCTTCAAGAGGTTATTCGCTTCGTTGGAAGGATTCAAACTGAACAAGGTCCCTTTTTCCAATCCGGAATGAGCATACTTTCATATTAATGAATCGAAGCTGTCCCACAAACCCACGTTAAAAGAATGAAGCATTTCGTCCAACTTGAGCGGAAAAATTCAGCAGAACTGGATGAATCAGAGAATCTTGACTGAAACGCAGATTACGATGGTTGGTCGAAAGAATGCAACCTTTTGCCTACGGAGCAGGAGCACATAGTCAGTTGAAGCTTATATAGAGTCCTGATTTTTGGAAAAAGTAATTCGAAGTTTTTAGCTAGAAACCTAAAACAATGACTAAGAAAGACTCCCGATATCAACTTTGTCCTCGCACAATGCGTTATTCCTACCAAAATCTTAGCTTTGACATTTGGTTTCAAGATCAAGATCTGCGGTTGTAACAGTTAACCTATAAGACGATTAGATGCGTTGAAGAGCGGACTTGCTTTGTGTACAAAGACGAGCCTTGGAGATGATGCCAATTACTATGCTGATGGCTCATGACCATATCTATGAAATAAGACTCACATCGAAAATCCGTTCCCCCAAGATTTGTGATAATCTGACAAAAATTCTCTTGGAGGTAACAGCGGAATAGATAACGGCAAACAAATCCAGGTCAGGAAGGCGAAATCTGTCTACTTCACTCAACATCTCTACACATCGAAGCAGGCATAGTGCCAATATAGCTGTTGTGAAATGGGCTCTCGAACGCATATAGCGAAGCGCGTAGCGATCAGTCACACGTGCTTTATTATAAGAATCTCGGCGATCGGTAGAAGTCAAAGCACACCAATCCCTGCATTCACGAATCCTCTACCGAGAAATCACATGTGCTTACGCCAAATTGTAAAAGTTGGTGCAGAATTATTAGGTCGTCCCGAAAGTTCTTTCGCACCAAATTCAAAAATTCATAACTTGTTGAATTCTCAACGAATTTACAAGAACTAAATTTTATATAAGATAAAAACTCATGCACTTTGCAACTGCTCTTGAAATGTTCGTTAATGTGTACGAATGAAGGAGATAGAAGCTCAAAACCAAAATCACTCAAAATTTGAATTTTTCGTTCGTAAAAAATCGGAAACTTGCAACAAAAATCGGAGCAGTGAGTATTGTAGGTTCTTTTACCAGATCTTTCTAACAGTGTAAAGTTTGCGCCGATTGAGTGTCTATATGAAAAGTTATGATTTTCGAGCAAGCAATACAAAAGGGCGAATTTGATTTATTTTGCCATTTTTCAGGGAAATCATAACTTTTGATAGAGACGCTCAATCGACGCAAACTTTGCACCATTAGAAAGAGCTAATAAAAGAACCTACAATACTCCGATTGCTCCGATTTTTGTTGCAAGTTTCCGATTTTTTTATGACCCTACACGAAAAACTCAAATTTTGAGTAATCTTGGTTTTGAGCTTCTTTCTCCTTCATTTGTATACATTAACGAACATTTCAAGAGCAGTTGCAAAGAGCATGAGTTCCTCTCTTATATAAAGTTTAGTTCTTGCAGATTAATTGAGAATTCAACAAGTTATGAGTTTTTGAATTTGGTGCGAAGGAACTTTCGGGACGACCTAATAATATTCCAGAAGGATCGAACTGAAAATTCTGTTTCCACAAAAACTTATTCCCTATAACCAATTATCCTATTACGAAATCTGAAGTGCTGAAGTACCCATAAAACGAAAACGATTTCGGACAAACATGGATGAGACACATTTCTACGTGGTTGTTTTTCTGGGTAGTTAGCGAACGTAGCCGAAGGAGCTTCTCAACAAACGGCGATAAAATCATATTCATTTCTGAGCATTAGACTAGCAGAAGCGTGCATACACATCAGAAACTTTCGCTTGTTAATATTTACATTCAGTGCATTTATTCGTGGGGCATTTCTGAAATATACTCACTCCATAACACACTCGAAGAGAACCAGAACGAAAGATAAGGAGAAAACATAAACTTATGTGAGAGAAAGTGGAATTTATGAGTCTCGCTTGCAAAAAGACTGATGTTTCTTTGATAACACATGGAAATTTAATCTGCAGCCAGCCGGATAGAAACTGGCAATAATAGAAATGCTGGAAATAATAGTGAATAAAGCCAAGAAGAATCAAGGGGCCAGAAATGGATTGCATAAATGGATGGTGAAAAGATGGAATTGTCTGTAGAGGAGAGGGAAACTTGTAGAGGGGATTGCGAAGAACCTAACAAGCTTGAGATGGAAAGGCTAGGCAGGTCTGCGAAACCAATATTTTCTCTATCGGGTAGATGATGGATTATATTCTTTGCTAACAGCTGCATGTGAATAACCACGAGCAGTCGATCATTATCACGCAGCAATGCAAAAGGATGACGCATGATGCTGTTCAATTTGACGTACCTCCAAACATATTTGTTACCGAAATAATTTTTGCAAGAGCAAATTCTGCAAAAACACTTTTCTCACCAGTTAGCTAAGCTCAGTCAAAGCAATTTTGTCACTCTGATATGAAGACTGCATGAATACACTCTCGAATTTGTACAGATTACCCTTTACTACTCTATTAATTGCACAAATACAGATCATAAAGGATTCTGAAATCGAGTTATTATCAAGCGTCATTCAATACTAGTGCTCTTCCCCAAACCTTTCCTCGAAGGCAACGCTGCCGAACTTTCCAGGATTAAATCCAAAAAACACACAAACTTGCATCGCAGACAATTGCGGACACGTTCTCGGCCTAGCGACCGACCAAAGATCAGAATTTATTGAAGTGTTATAAACGCATTGATTGTTGTCAGAACTGTTAGTGATGTCAAAGATTACCGGATGTAGTAACATAGAAAGAAACCATATACATTTTGATTTTCCTTTGTTATATCCGACCGTATACTTCGCGCGCTATCCTAACATCCGCCAGAAGCTTGCAAAAAAAAGCGAGTCAGAACTTCTCTCAAACGTCTTACACTTCCTTTTACTCATGACTATTCAAAAGGTTGCTAATGCTCTTCCTCCAAGAAGTAGTAGTGCGGCAATAATCGTTGTCCACTCCTGTTGAATGGTACGCTAGAAGTGTTTTCAAGCCCTAACAATCTCTTGAGATTTTTCTGCTTTTTGAGATATCTCTTCCAATTATGTGTAGATCGATGATATATTCATATTGTTCACTATAGCAGGATAACAGCATAATTAGCAGATAGGGAGGACTACGCTGGCCAAAAAAATGTAGGCTACGCGGTTGCAGCTGCACTTGTAAAAAACATGACTCGACTACACATGAACACTTATTCGCATTCATGTGAAAACGTAGTCATCAATCCGGCGACGATTGGATGCGCATGATGGATTAATGGGTTGAAAAAGGGTGAGCGTTCATGTATCACGACTTAACGAGACAAACATATACCGTGATGATGTTCAAAATTCTAATCGATATCGAACAGCAACATGTGATCAATTGGAAATTTCGGAACCAACATTTATGTATTCTCAATGCCTTCGGAAAAATGATGTCATGGCCCACATAATTGAACAATGTTGATAATAGGTTCCAAATGTGACCTTAGAAGGCTATGTTTATAAAAGAAATATATTCGGGGCAGACACGTGCGAATGTTTGCCCGTCATTGCTGACAAACGTTTGCGACGAATATTAATTGGCCCCTTTCATGGTACTTTTATGGCACTACAAGTATCGGCGTCGAAGTTCTCGTTTCAAAAAATCTTAGAGCGGTCAAATGGCGAGGTCAGCAAGCATGATTGAAAATGAAGATAGGAGGAGCAAAGATGGGGAGACAAGATATAAAGATAAATAGCGCACGGAAAAAAGACAAAATTTTCAGAAAAGATAGCCAAAGAACTCTTGCAAAAAATGACTTACCTTAGCCAAATGCTTGTTTACCCATTTTGTGAAAGTCTTTTTCTGGATACCGTCACGTTCATCTGAAAAGAAAAGAAATTTGCAAAACTGTCGAGCGAAAACCTATGAATTGTGAATCCCCTTTTTATGACTGTCACTATTTGGCTAAAGCCGCGACTGATACCGCGACAACCGACTGTGGACAAATACTATCGCTCCCCATGGCTGACCGACCAAACAAAGCTATTCAACAGAGCGACGTAAGCCCAGCAAGGTTACCCATCAAAGTACCAACACCCAGGCCTTCTCATGAGTTTGCATCACTCACTTAAACCTCTTTTATGGTCTAATGCGCATCTATTGTCCAACGCTCCTCTAATTATGGGCAACCTTGAACATCCGGATACAATCTGTTATGCATGTAGATAAACGATTAGGCGTGAAAATCCGGACAGAAATCTGGCAGAATCTCAGGGGATTATCATTTTGATCAATACTGCGCGTCATAGGTTGTAATGTATGCGATAAGTTGATGACCATAGAAAGAAAACGTGTCAACAGCTGGTTGATTGATGAGTGAATAGGATCAGAAATGCGATACACTTGGCTGTGTGAAAAAGCAAAATGCTCAATACTGATTGTGAGATGTAGGTAATTTTCAGTTAACGTATAGTTTATAAGCATGTGCAAGGATGAGTTCAATCCGTGCTACGCTCCGTGACTCAGGTAATGCAGTATCAAGAACAAAAATGTGATCACTCAGTGAAAAAAAATCTCTAGCAGTAATTACCGGATTGGCATGAAAAATATTGCGTAAAAGTCTCAAACATCGTTAATTAATTTCAAGACACAATTCCACAATCGATAGAAGACAAGAGACATACCATTAAAAAACATATAACACTGAATAAACGTGACTGAATGGAGAATCACATGGAGTAAAAAAATCATGAAAACGCGAAGAAGTTTGTTTTAGTTCGTCTGCATACGATAACTTTGTACGTAATTTATGCAGGGTACTGCACCATACACTAAAAAAATTTAATCACGCATGAAAAATTTATGGCGCCATGAAACTTACGCAATTTCCCAAATTGCAAACAGAACAAATGACGGTTAGTCATCTTATGCGGATTACTGCGCTACCTATGGCCAAAACGAGTATTCCCCTCATCCATACCTTCCTTCACTGCATTCAAAAAGTTCCGACGGATAGCATAAACGATAGCGGACAGGGCCGCAAAGATTTTGGATTCACGTAAATCTAGCAAAAGAGATCGAAAGTCACGAGCCCCACGAATGATGCAGAGACTCAAAACAGAACGACAGCATCATCGCATTCGATCGAATATGGAAAGTACACAGAAGCCACGGAACTAATGCAAGCCGTACTCTGACAAAGGACAGAAAAACGCACCTTTGAAACGTTCCCTATTGATTTCGTAATGTTCTAAAACTTCTAAATCGGCTGAATCGTAATTGGCGTCGGAAGACGGCGCGCAGCGATCCATTATGAGGTCATAAGTGAGACGGTCCAGTTGAGGTTTGGCTTCGAAGGAAGCTTCCCGCCGGACAGTCGAGGGCACAAATGCGAGGGCTGGGCGGGAGTCCGCGGCCGAGAGAGCGCCGGCCGCCGTGCCCGCCGCGGAGGCGCAGCGCAACCGCCGCCGCAGACACGCAGAGTGGTACGGTTGGGGCGCGAAAGGGTGTCGGTCACTCGCGCCCCCGATGCAGTAGCCGTGGCTGTCAGGCTCAGATGGCGCAAGCCTGAGCCGGCTGGCCATTGCTAAATCTCCCACCCAGCTTAGCCGCATGGGTTTCATGGGGTTCTTGGTGAGTGAATAGGGGAAAAATGAGCCGCCGGCGGCTTTCCACATGAGCCAGCTTTGTCAAAATTCACTTACACCAACGGATCACAATTTATAAGTTCATCGCATGTTTCTATAGCTCACCAGTACTTAGACAAAGTCCTATAGTGCAGCTTATAATGCGCGAATTTCCCCGATTCTCTATTCTCATTGCATTATAAACGGGAAACTAAAAATACTCCGGTGCACTGGACGCGAAAAGTTACCTATTTTTGATTTTTATGTTTATGTGAATATCATGCCTTATGAATGATCAGCATTTCCTATATAAAAGATATCAGAGATATATTGATATGGATAAATTCAGCGTAAAAAACCCACTTTTTCTCTACCATTTGGAACTGAGGACTCTGGTCTAGGATTTCTAGAAAAGTGCACTCATTTCTTCCTTTGTCATAATCCTCCGTCAAAAGCTATTATCTTATAAACTTGACATTAATTTCTTTCTATTTTCTTTTTTAATGATTCGAGAACCTTCAGCTTGCAGCAATATGTTATGCTGGATCATATTTTGCTCTTCTTTTCGCCACGCGGAAGTACCCTACAAATTCTTTTTTTCAAATGTGTGGACGCTCTACTTAGCTAAAAAGCCAACAACACTTCCACTAAGTAAACAAGAGACGAGCAGCAGATACGCGTTATAGTTACACTATTCGCTACCCAATCAACTCAGGTCCACTTCACATCGACAAACATGCGATGCTTTTTTGGTCGCGTGAAGTAAGATTATAGAGAACTTGTTGGAGTTGAAGTTCTAGTTGGGTTATTCTGAGCGGAACGCGGCAGTTGTTCAACGAAAATCCCCGTATCAATGGCCAAATTAGCGCGTCGTATGAACCAAAAAACTGGTTTTCACTTTCAAGTGCCCCCGTGATACTGCTACCCGAAAATACATTAGTCAGTGAAAGTCAGCGAAAGTCAAAGGCGAAGGTGTCCGATGGAGTTCTCGCGATCTTTTTCCTTTTTTGGCCATCAATTATCTGAAATTTTTGAAGAACAGCAGTGTACCGAAGTTGCTGGAATCTGCAAATCTGGAAACGAAATGCATTCTGCTACATGTGATGTTCCGCTCCTTGCCGCTCCTTCTTTCTCTTTATCATCCTTGCAGTCATGCTGCTTCAGTCATGCTTTGCATATTTGCAGAAATGATTTCACTGAGCAAATATAGCGGAAAAGCCAATTATCGTTACGAAATTCCTTTGTTGCTTTCATCGGTGTTAGCATCCATAATACAGAGTTTCAAAGCGATTGTTGTCCGGCTAATGGAGCTCAATATTGTTTTCGTCAATGACAACCACCTAGATCAACAAACTGTTCAAATATGTAGTACAACTGCTAAATAAGCGTCAAATCTAGGCTGAAAATGGATGACTAATTCCTTGATCAATACTGTTCTGTAAGCTATTTTCCCCCAGCAGTGCATTTATGCGTCAATTTGGCATTCTCTTGATATTTATGCTAATTCAACAATTATGCTAGTCATCTTATACTTCGTCCAACATACAATAGAAGACCCAGTCTGATTATGTGATTTTTTTATCACAAAATCCAGCCTCTGAAGATGATTTCTGCACACATAGACTCTGGCTAGACACGGTTATTAAGGTCTAGTGCTAGAAAAAACGAATTGTTGCGCTACATTTCTTTGTGAGGGTAATTTCGGGGGATTATGGACTGGTTCTTGCCGACTTCCCACGGTTGCAAAACAGAATATAAAGTACGCACGCACTGGTTACGACTGCCGCATTACCACGCTGGTGCGAAAAAACTTTCAAGTGGGGTTTTTTCATGCTCAAGCGCAGATCTTTGAATTTTTCCTGTTCCTTTACATTTTTCATCCCCCTCCCTCGATACTGGACTCATTATTGATCTATGTATACACTGAAATGGAAGTCCATCAAAACTTCGTACACTTCGCTGACTCGCACACGCCGCCTGCAAAACGATGCCTTTGTTTTTACCCCCCCCCCCCTCCCCCTGATCTGAAAGACAGCGCAGCTGCGGGGAAAAAAGAACCATTTGGTGTGAACGGAATTGAAATAAAGATGTTCCGTAGGATTTCCTGCATTATGTAGTGCTGAGGGATTGAATTTCGAAGGCTTGGGGGCAACCGTAGATCTGCTGTCAGCTCATTAGTACATTCAAAGTACAGATGCGCATGAAGATAAGTCACAGAGTCAACAGATGTTGTCACCACTTGCAGAAAACATATTCAAGAGATAGATAAGGGCTCCTTAATAGTATTTTGCACCAAATGAGTGGGCTTGAAAAGCCTCCAGATCTTTCCAAATGAGCACAAAAACAGCGTTCGCTTCATTGATTATGAGTAATTTTTGATCAAGTGAAATATTGTCATTTTCCTGCCCATCTGATCGATTATTTTCACCCTCTGCTTTTTGCAGTGAGTCATCTACATTCACAGACAGAATGTTTCCTAGGACTCTCGTTAATGGACGCATTGGATGCACATGGTAATTCAAACGGGGCATCCATAAATCATGAAATTTCAACCAGTCTTACTGGAAACATCTCTACTCTTTGCTTTTTAATAATCCCGCTGTAAAGAATTGCAACTTCAGCAATTTGTTTTAGGTAATGTATTATTCCACGGAAATTTTATATAAAGTGAAATCAGAAAGATTATTTGATTCGCTTTCGCAATGCACTGAGTCACTGCTTGCAGATTCCGCCTCTTTTTAGTTTTGGCTTCCAAGCAAAAGACTTCATCATCCAGCAGTAAATTCGAGCATTATAATGCGATTGCTGAAGATACATATGATCATTTTTTTGGGTGAACTTGCGCAAAGCTTCAACAATTTTTTCGTGGGTCTCCCATACAATTCACATTCATTCCAATTCAGAATTCTCAAAGAAATTGTTATATCCAATGTAAGGTAATACGGGGTTGTAGTGTTCAATAGGCATTTGTCCACGCATCGAGTAGAACCATTGTTTATTTGGAGCAAGGGGTTATTGCTCCGCTAGCGTTTACACCACTGCTGCCTTTTCGCTGTAGAAGAATGGTCATATATATCACTCATTCATATGTAAATTTAAGGTCTCATGTGAAAGTTGGCATTCTTTAGCGTCAGAAAAGTAGAAAATTGATTCTCTGATGAACATAGCAGAGAGCAGAGGAGACTCAATGCAACGCAAAGTGCCCTCAACTAGTTTCCAAGGTTTTATCACAGCTGATGCGTTCTGGCAGAAATCATTTTCCGGTTTGGCTATGATGGTAATCGTAGATGACTGTAAATGGACACAGAACTGTTAGAATACCTCCCATGTATCCATCAAGTGATTTTAGGTGTGAGACCGTCACAAATACTGAGAGAGCGCAATGCGAAAAAGTAGTAGGTAAGTGAAATTGAGATAAAAAACACAAAATAACGTTCCATGGAGGGAACACTTTGATTGAGTGGAAAATGTAATTTTGCTGCATCGGAGGGTGACTGAGATGTGTCACGACAATGTTTCAAAAGCAATCGGTTTGTGTTTTTCTTTGATACGTAGAGTAACACGCTATGTTATTTACTATGCTGGTCCGAGTGCTTTCGCACCTCTTTTCAGAAACGAAATTCGTTGCATCTCAATGGAATCTTTCAAACGTTGTGCTTAGCAGCAATACCTTTGTTTTGCGTGTGTATGACGGAATGCGAGGGAAGGCAAATGAAGAGAATTGCTCAAGATCAGCATTTTTGGCAAACCCCCCAAAATTCAAAAGATTTTAGTAAAATTTAAGTACACGGTTTGATGAAAGGGGACATCAAATTCTATTCTAATTTTGGTCTTAACCTGCAATTTAATGTCTTGCTTGTAAACACCCAGTTTTCAGTAATTGTCTTCACTTGTTTCCAGTCCCCACATTTTCTATTCACAGCAAAAGTACTTCATTTGCGCATAAATTTTGTTTTGAAACAAAAATACCGCTAGCATTTTCGTGACCGTGCCCAAAAAATGCCAATCTTGGTAATTTTCTTCACCTATAACTAGATTCCGCATTCTCTCATATTGATTCACATCAAAAGCAATGCTACAATTCGCATGATTTCCGCTCACAGATGGAAATACTTTTGAGGAATTCCATCACAAAAAATAGTCATGATCCTCTGAAAAAGGAGCGAACGAGTTTTCGGAGCAATCTTTACATACCAGAGAATCAATCTGATACAATCTGATACACAATGAAAAATTTCACTGCAAACATTCGAAAAATTATAATTATTCATATATACATCTAATCACCATGAATTTCTCTTGATCGAAGGTATAAAAAGACCATAATCCAGCTTTAATAAAGTCAATTGACAGTAAAAACCGAAATTTTTTATGAATGTAATGAATGTATTGCCGCCGTATGCCTACAACAATTCGTGCTCTAAGAATGTACCTCCAGAAAGCGTATGATTATTCTTCTTCTATAAAATATGTTAAAGTGGAGAAATTTGCTTGGAATTTTGGTGCAACACGTATCAACTTAGTACTACAAACTACCGTGGTTAGCCTTTTGTCGCAGGCGTTTGATATTTTTTGCGTTCCCAGTAATAACATCTGTGGGAAGTCCTCTGCTTACTATTTTTTATCAGTTGCTACTGGCCGTGAGCCAAACGATAAGCATCGATTGCTAAGGAAGGAGCTTCAAACAATGCTAGGGAAGTGCAGGAGCAACTCGTACCTACGGTGACATGGCGGGAGTGGCTGCTGAACCATTCGAGCGGCGTGAATACCTTAGTCTCAAGGGTCTCATGGGCCTC